ATTTAAAAAAAGACTCCGATAATGCTGATATATTTTATAATAAAGATAAAAATGATAGAATTATTCAATATAGCACTGTTATTGAATATTTTAAATCGATTTGAAGAAGCCTTAAAATATTATGATTATGCAATTTTAAAAAAACCTGATGATGCTGCTATATTTTATAATAAAGGTTAAATTGGTTTAATCATAAAACATAGCAATGCTACTGTCTGCTTTACATCTATTTGAAGAAGCTTTATAATACTATGATTATGCAATTTAAAAAAATCCTGATGATGCTGATAAATTTTATAATAAAGGTAAATGGTTAATAGTAAAATATAGCAACTTTATTAAATACTTTAAATCGATTTGAAGAAGTTTTAGAATTTAATGATTATGCATTATAAAAAAATCCTGATGATGCAAAAATATTTCATAAATTTCGATATTCCATAGACTAACCTATTTTTAAGCTTAATATTTGTCTCTCTACTTAACTTGGTGAACTTAATAATTTTAACAATACGCTCGTTATCTAGCAACATTTGATTTAGCTATTTCTATACTATTTCCAGTTTACCTTTAAATTCTGCATGCTCAACTTTTCTTTCAATGCTGGTTCTTTTTTCTAAATAATCATCATCTTATATTGGCAACATGCTTGCTAGCATTCCACCTATATATTGCTCTAAATCTTCATATGCAGTAATACGATACTTGTCTTTATTACTAAAGAGCTTTTGAAATGCAATATCTTTTATCGACTCTAATCATCTGTGTGCTAAACTTTTATATCAGTCAATAATTAACATTATTATTATTATTGCTCTAATAACATCAAAATATATTTTAATTCACTTCTTTTTCAATTCAATATAAATTTTTTTTAAATCTTCTAACATTATATTAGATATGATGAATATGAAAAATATTTAGATAAATCTGATTTATGTGACTGTATTAAACGATTAAAAAGTTCCCCCCTAATCTATTTATTTAATTGGTATTTTTTAATAATCAAAGCAAATAAAAATTCTTAATAAGCAAAATAGCCAATGTAGATAGTTTAATTAAGTACTTAGAAGTTTAAATAGATACCAGATAGTTTCACTTAAAAGTAATGACAAAGATTTTCGAGTTTTTCAGATGCTCGAAGAATTGAAGGATTATACTTTGTTCAATATACACAAAGCAGATTTTATAATGAATTTTACAGTGGTATTAGATAAAAGGAAAATTTTATAGGTGTCCGATATCCTTGGCAACTAAAAATGACAATAATAGCCAGGTTACCATTAATAAAACAAAGAATCAAACATCAATTAAATCAACAAAAAAAGGAGAAAAAAAATGAAAGTACAAAATTTTTAAATAATTGCACTAAATTATCAAGGGCAGGAGCGTAATTACACGGTGATTAAATTACTATTCAAGATATAAGTAGTTACTATTAGCTCTTTATTCCTTGTAAAAATAATTGGATATCATATGCAAGGAATATTGTTGTCAACAAGGCTTTCTAAATCATCTAAAAGTAAGCAATTACATGTGATGAGTTAAAATATGAGGTAGAAACAAGATAAAGAAAATATGTTTCTAGTTTTGAGCATAGCCTGAGATATATAGTTTACAGTTTAAGTTGTTATCAGGGCATCTTTTGTTAAATGAGTTTGCTAAAATCAGCAAAGATAAGCTAGAGAATGCAAAGTAGTAAGAAAGTAGAGGTTGCAATATTAATACTTAAAAATATTGTTCTTAATACTAAGGCAAATGTAATGGTTAGATTGGAAAAATTATGCATCAGAGCAAGATCAACAGCAAAGAAAAACTATAAGTGTAAAGATTTAACCACTTTTGTACTTGCTGTAATCATCTATAAGAAAGAAAGTCAGAAATAAAGTTCCAACAGAGCAAATTAAGAAAGAATGGAGTTAAGAATGTAGTAGCGATTGATTTGTCTCTAAATCTAAAACAAACAGAGGAGAAGAGAACTTAAAAAGTCCAAAGGTCGAGAGACCCTGGAGAAAAAGAGGAGATTGTAAAACAAGAGATTCCAATATATGGTACAGAAAAACTTTGGAGAAATTACATCGAGACTGAAACAGAAATGCAGGAATTAAATGGAAATAAATGAATGGGG